CGAAGCACACACACACACACACACAAACGCACGCACACAGAAAATGGGATCGCGTGAACCAAGGCCTAATGATAAGGTAGGGACTGGAAGACGGTGGGGACGGTCCCCATGTCCAACACGCGCATCCGCGAACTGCAAAGGGGCAGATGCGCTTCGCAATTTATGGAGTGTTTTTTTTTCTTTTTTTCGGCAGAGATAGCTCTTTTCAAGAATGGCAAGATCAACATGTTCATATCAGGACACCGTGGTGTCAGCTTCTAAGTTGTTTGTGTGCATTTCATTGCTTAGCGGACATTTTTTTTATCGGGCGAAGCGGCTCGGCATCTCCTTTATCCACGCTACCCTTGCTGGAACCAGTAAGAACGATGGTTTAATGCCAAGTGCGATCTTCAAAATGCGGATTGTCAAGACCTTGGATATTCACTCGGCAGCGCCTACACACCGGTGATCTTCCTTTGTTGTGGCCAACCATACATGTCACCACTGGCTTCCGCGGGCCGAAGACACGACGGAGCGCTTTCTTTTCCACGTGAGTGACAATGAGATGATCCTCTCCTTCCTCTTGACCATCGGGGACATGTGTTCTTGCTGCGCAATGTACGTTTTGTCATGATCCGATGAGTTTGAACCGTGTCTAACTCTGGGCCGGGAATCTCCGACGAGTCCGCGTGTAGTCCACAGCGATCGGCCCGAAAGGTCCAGTACAGCGTTATTTGGAAGTGCTTTTTATTCTAATAGTAATAGTCAGAATGTCTCTGATTGGTTATTTTCGTGTTTGAAGTCATTTTTAATTCATGTTTTCTGTTAAAATATGGCTGTTTCTTGACGGTAGATCTGTGCTGTAGTAAAGTCCTCCCAGTATGTCCAAAGCCGAATTCCAAGGGCCGCTGAGTAGTCCTTTGCCAAGATTCAGCTTGTCGGGTGGTTGTGGACTGTCAGCTATGTCGCCGCGCTATGCGAGTGTGTTTTCCAGTAATCGTCTTTACTCGACAATTTTTTTTTTATGTGAGTGATTTACTAATTTAAGCATCATGTTCCGCTCAACTGTCATATTTTGTTTGTATAAGAGAGGACTGATAATTTAGTAGCACATTTGACACTGGTGAGCTGAAGGGGAGGCCAGCGGTTTGATTTATAACTTGTAAATAACATGGATGTAATATGGGCACATTTATAACTATATGTTTCTGCAACGCAAACACCGCAATTCTTAAAACTGTTTCTTTTTTTTTTTTTTTCAAATCAACGTAGAAATATAGGTGTGAACTTAAATGTCGAGATTGCAATAAACACGTCTTAAGGCTAGATGAAGGCTTGAGGGACACTGTGATGTTGCAAGAGTAGGGCTAAGCAATTTATAGATTAACCTTTCTACTATTTTAAGAAAAAAAAAAAGCTCTAAATTCGACCTTGCAATGCATGTGCCTGCCCCCGCATTCAGAGTGGTGCAACCAGTTCATCCGCGTGCAATAAAAAACATAGAGCCCACATCTATAGTGCAGCAGCACGATACCCGTCAATCTTAATTTGTATGTTCTTGGTTTGGGCTACTTTTAAATTTCTTTTTCGTCTTGTTTTGTTTTGTCTAGAATTCGTGCATTTTAGCATGTATAATTGTTTTTTTTTTATATTAAGGTTGAATGGTACTTTTTTGCGAATTAGCCCATTGTAGAGCTGTAGTTACAATATTTAATGAATGGCCTCCCCAAACTTAGATGTTACTTGCATTCGCTAGCTTCCTTTCTAAAGTTGTAAAATAAACTATAACATACGGCAGTCAGCACTGAAACCCAATAGGGTGTTCACACTAATTTATCTATAAAAATGTTCCTAACATATCGCATGCCACTTAGACAAATGCAGCTGTTAAGAAATTGCATTCATCCCACCCCTCAGATTCTCGTCTATATAGAGCTATGTCTTTCACCGCTATGGGCAGAGGCCAGCTGATTTGATACAGTTTGGAAGGTGGAGGGATGATGTGCAGGGAAGCTAAACTCTGTCCCTCTCTCCCATATGGCCTGCTACAATCCACGTTTTGCGACATATGTGCTGCCACCTGTCGGAAAAAATTGGAAGCTTCCTAGAAAGCTGGGGAGCTGGGTTCGAGGCTTTTCCGGATGATCACACACAGACCCGGCAGGCGTGTTTCTCACGTTACGGCACGCTGGTTTTCTTCCCTCTGTTTGGTTTATTTCGTTCCGCGGCTATCTAACTAAACGGTAGCGATGACCGAAGACGAGAACATCCCGTTCTCGTTTCCTCCGGACGCTTGGGTCGAGAGGCCTCCGTCGTGTGTGAACTTCTCGCAAGACGAAGTGTGGCGGTACATGCAAGCCAAGCCTGACACCCTGCTTCAGGCCCATCGCGGTTGGGCTTTCAAGGAGGAAGGCTACGTACGCAATGTTCGGTGGAACCTGTCGGACGATTCTCGGACGTGCCTTGTCCGATGCGTGTGCCTGCCTTCCATGAAGAAGGCACCGTATACTGTCTCCGCGTGGTTTACGAGGGACACCGGCACCGTCAGAGGCGGCATCTGCAGTTGTGTTGCTGGGTGAGTAATACCCCGTTACGTTTCTGAATAATAATTTATGTCTATGTAGCCCCGCACCACGTGAGAGAGCACGAACGCTTCGGTTAAGTGCTCCAGTGCCCGCATAAAACGTGCGCCACAGCACTAAATAACGTTCGTACCGAACGTTTTATTGTGTGATCGATACAACTATTTCCACCCAGATTAGTTACTCGTTTTCGTAAACATCTACACACAGCTTGTAGAAGTCTCCTTGCTTTCACTTCTCGTGCACGCAGTTCGCACGCTAGCGCCCCGTTAGCATAGCAACCTATCTAGTCATAAGAGGTTCATTTTGTATTTTGTCGTTTTCTAGGAAAAGCGGGTGCTGCCAGCACATCGTAGCGCTACTTCTCTGTGCAGAGGAGAGCTGCAACACGACCACGGCAACCTCTTGCACCGACGTTCCCTGTTCTTGGATTGTTCCAGCTCAAGGTGTGTATGGAACAAATGCTTCCGTAAAATGTGTTGCACTTGCACATTATGTATGTTTGAGTACTACATCATTAATGGTGTATTATACGAAGATTGTTGCTCTCACTGTCTCATTCAAGATATACCTTTCTACGTCATAATTTTTAAGTCAACTCTGGCCATTTTTCAGTTAATAGAGAGCCAATTCTGGTTCAGATTGAGGGTCTCTGGTGGCTTCAGAGGCCTACAACTTCTCACATTCAGGTGTTATTTTGTATTTAATAACATGGAAGCCACAAAGAGCTGCGTTGACAAGGTGTTTGTCAGCACATCTTTGAAACCACATGGGACATGAATAATAAAAATGAGGGAAACTGGTACAATTATTAATCAGTAACGCCTCCCCCCCTCTCCTCCCAATCTCCTATTTCTCTTCCATTGCAGCCAAGAAGCCCGCAGCTCCTGCACCGCTTGCAGATATTACGTTCAGCAAGTTCCTGATCAACAAGCCGACTCATCAGAAGAAAAGCCGTTCGTATGACCCTTGTGAAGGAGTGCCTGGCCCGTCGCACGAGGACATCACGAAGTTCTATGGGAGGCTGGCTGAAATAAGACCAAATCTTCTTTGCCTGAGGTATGGCAACGTCATGCCAGTGAAAGAAGCGAGGCACACAGGAGCGATCCCTCAAATCGACGATGAACAGGATCTGTGGAGCCAGGAGGCCCGGAAGCTTGTACAGCACCACATGCAGACACTGCCACAACTGACTGCCGAAGAGAGGGCTGGCATTGTGACCTCAACGATCGGTCAAGCCTGCAACCAGAGGTGGCACAGTGAGCGACTTGGGAGGATAACGGCATCACAGTTTTCTGCTGTGATTAAGTGCAGAGAGCCTGACTACCTTGTGAAACGGATCATGTATCCTAGCCCAGAAGCAAAGAGTGAGGCACTGCATTATGGAAGGATGAAGGAGCCCGTTGCTGTTGCCGCCTACGTCGCGCTCATGAACTGCAGGGACGACCCAGTACAGGTGTATGAGACCGGGCTACACATACATCCGCGCTACAGCTTCCTCGGAGCGTCGCCCGACAGGATCATCGTCAAGAACGGCGAAGTAGGGCTTCTTGAGGTGAAGTGTCCCATCTCGAAGATTGGGTTAACACCCGAGGAGGCCTGCGGAGACGAGAAGTTCTGCTGCGAGTTGATCGATGGAACCGTGCAACTGAAGCACAAGCACGCGTTCTACTACCAGGTGCAAGGACAAATGATGGTGACTGGGCACAGGTGGTGCGATTTTGTTTTCTGGACGAACAACACCACTGACGCCAATTCGACGCACATTGAGACAATCACCCTAGACGAGGAGTTTGTCAGTAAGGAGCTGCTACCTGGCTTGCTGTATTTTGCCGAGCATGCTCTGTTCCCCGAGGTGATCACTAAACGCATCCAGCGACACAAGGACCTGGCTAGGGGAAAGTATGTCTCCTTCAAGAAGTTTCGTGAGGGAACCTACAGGGTGGAGGACGGTCCTGGCTTAAAGAAAACATTCAGAAAACTGAAGTGAAGTGGAGACTGAATGACCACAAATGCAAAACGGCCCTTGTGTGTGTCGGAATTGTCGTGAGAGCCACAGCACGAAGAGGGCGCCACAAGCCAGACGACAAAGAAGCCAGCGAGAGGGCTGAGTGCGAGAGTATGGGTCGGAGAACGCCAACACGACGGACGCACGGAGACTGATGTGCGGGCTCACTGCTCATGTAACGTATCGTTAACTCGAATTAAACGCTTCGTTTACGCCAACCTCGTCCCGACATGGTGGCAGCGGTGGGATGCTGTGGAAGACAAGTCAACTAGCTACAACAGCAACCGCTCTGGGGAGGCAAGGCACGGGAACGCTCGGAATCCGAAACTTTGCGTCGCTACGACAAGGTACGTCGACGGAACGCTCGGAATCCGAAACTTTGCATCGCCACGCCAAGGTACGTCTGCAACGACCACGCCGACCGGTAAGCGATGGCCACTGGGCAACAAGCTGCGCAACAACCAACGTCGCTAAATCCTTTCGTCGTTGAGTTGCCAGAAAAGTTGGATTTTCGACGTCCCGATGATTGGAAGCGTTGGTTCACCCGATGGGAGAGATACCGGGTCATTTCTGGGTTGAAAAAACAAGACGGGGAAACCCAAGTGAACACGTTAGTTTATGCTATGGGACGCGAAGCAGAAGATGTCCTGGCGTCGCTGAAAGTGACTGATGCCCAGAAACACGACTACGATGCAGTGACAACCGCCTTCGGCAGACACTTTGTCCCTCGGACGAATGTCATTTACGAACGTTCAAAGTTCAACAGGCGTGTGCAGGAAGCGCACGAAACGGTCGACGCCTTTGTGACAGATCTCTACAAGCTGGCAGAGGTATGTGCATACGGCGACTTAAAAGAAGAGCTAATTAGAGACCGACTCGTCGTGGGACTCGTCGACGTCAAGCTGATTGAGCAGCTTCAGCTCAACCCTGAACTAACGTTGGAGACGGCGATCTCCAAGGCTCGAAATTCGGAAACTGTGAAGCAGCAACTCAAGGAACTGCGACCACAAGCACAGCCGAACGCGATCGTAGACGAGCTTCACTTCTCCGCGCAGCGGGCCAAAAAGAAGAAGCAGCTACCAGTCCGCAACAAAGAACAGAACCAAGCTTGCAGATGGTGTGGTTCCCCGCGCCCACACTTGCGTGCCAAGTGTCCTGCTGCCGACAAGACATGCAATGGGTGTGGAAAAAAAGGACACTTCGTGTCAGTGTGCCTGTCCACAAAGAAGAAAACTCAAGACAGCCAGAGTCAGCGCCACGCCGCACTCGAAGAGGTTTACCTGGGTAAAGTAACAAGTCAACTCGGATCAGAACCATGGCGGATCACAGCTTGCGTCAACGGCTCGCCCGTAGAGTTCAAGGTGGACACGGGAGCTGACGTCACGGCCATCCCGTCCAGGGTCTACAACAAGTCACTCATGGGACCACTCAGCAGACCTACGAAGGCACTCCTGGGGCCCGGCCGAGCCAAGATTCCCACTGTGGGACAGTTCAAGGCGACCCTGAGGTGGAATGGACGATCGTGCCAGGAGCAGGTGTTCGTAGTGGACAACCTTCACGACGCGCTTCTTGGCCGTCCAGCAATCAAGTCTCTGCAAGTCCTGTGCAGCCTGTCTGTAGTCGAGGGATCAGAGGTAGACGAAGACGACACACACAGCAGACATCTTCAGTGACTACCCCAAGCTGACTGCGGGTCTTGGACTACTAAACACCGAGTACAAGGTAGCTCTGCTCCCCAATGTCAAACCGTATGCGGTAACGTACCCGAGGCGCGTCCCTCTTCCAAGTGTCAAGCAGGAGCTGGAGCGGATGGCGAGCCTCGGAGTCATCGCAAAGGTAGACCACGCAACTGAGTGGTGTGCACCGATGGTTGTGGCCAGAAAGAAAAACGGTGAACTACGCATCTGTGTCAATTACAGTGGCCTGAACAGCTGCATCCTGAGGGAATGAGTCTTAATGCCAACTGTCGACGAATGCCTTGGAAAACTGGCTGGAGCAACCTGGTTCAGCAGACTCGACGCCAGAGCGGGCTACTGGCAAGCCCCACTGGCAGCAGAATCACGGGAGTATACAACTTTCTTGACGCCATGTGGTAGATTTCAGTTCCTCCGACTACCATTCGGTATCTCCACTGCACCCGAGTTCTTCCAGCGTGAGATGCTAAGAGTACTCGAAGGTCTCGAAGGTCAAGCTTGCCTTCAAGACGACATCATCGTGTTTGGAAGAACGAGAGAAGAACGTGACTCACACTTGCATCAGGTACTCAAGCGCCTGCAAGATGTGGGCATAACTCTCAACAAGGACAAATGCGTTCTTCGCAAACAGTCTGCAGAATTCCTCGGACATGTCGTCTCGGCCAACGGGGTCAGTGCGGATTCAGTAAAGATCAAGGCTCTCGCTCAACTGACACCGCCAGGAGATGTATCGGAGGTCAGGTCGTTCCTGGGTATGGCAAACCACCTGGCTAAATTTCTCCCTGGACTCTCTCAACTCACGAAACCGCTTTGCGATTTGCTTTACCATGACGCTGATTGGTGCTGGGGAGAGCCTCAACAAAAAAGTTTCGACTCCGTCAAAGAAGCACTGACGACCACACCGGTACACTACGATCCTCGAAGTCATCTCACAGTCTCAGCGGATGCATCCTTGTACGGCCTTGGGGCTGTCCTCCTTCAGGAGATGTCCGGAAAACGACTCCCTGTTGCCTACGCATCACAGTCACTCACAGAAACTGAACAACGCTACGCCCAGATAGAAAAGGAGACGCTGGGAATCGCATGGGCATGCGAGCATTTCCGCCAGTACTTGCTCGGTCTGCAATTCCACATAGAGACCGACCATAAGCCGCTCATGCCTCTGTTGTCATCAAAGCGCATAGACGAGGAGAGTCCATGATTGCAGCGTCTGCGAATGAGACTGCTGGAATTTGACTACACAATCTCCCATATTCCCGCAAGGAGATCCATACAGCTGACATACTCTCACGGAAGCCGCAAGCAACAACGGACAGCAGCAGTCCAAGAAGTCTCGAAGTAGCTTTGACAGAATACGAGCTACTCAGCGTAGAACTCCTACCGGCCTCCACCAACATGCTGGAGAGGACCAAAGAAGAACAAAAGCGAGATCCAACTATCGTGACTGTTGGGAACTATTGTTCAACGACGTGGCCCAAGGGCGTGTCACTGCCACTACCAGTACAGAAATATGCCAGTGTGTCCCAAGAGCTAGTTGAAGAACTTCTCCTCAAGGGAAGTCGCATCGTCATCCCGCCAAGCATGCAGGACGAGGTGCTGGAAAGCCTGCACACGGGTCATCAGGGCATAGGTCGTTGCAGAGCTCGGGCCAATCAATCAGTTTGGTGGCCTGGCATCAGCAGGAGTGTTGAAGACTATGTTTCAAGATGTCCAGTGTGTCAGACACACCGAAAGCCTGGCGCAGAGCCCCTGCTACACACTCCACTCCCGAATCACCCATGGGAAGTTGTAGGCGCGGACCTCTTTAACGAAAGTGGCGAGAACTACCTTGTAGTGGTAGATTATTTCTCGAGGTTCTTTGAACTTGAGAAATTAAGAAAGACAACAACCCAAGACATCACACGGGAACTGAGCGAGATGTTTGCCCATTTTGGAGCACCCGTCATCATTCGATCAGACAATGGGCCCCAATTCGCTTCTGCCGAATTCGAAAGGTTTGCGAAGGAGTGGGGATCACGCCATGTAACAAGTAGCCCATATTATCCTCAGAGCAATGGGGCGGTGGAAAGGACCATACAGACGGCGAAGCAGCTGCTTAAAAAGTCGCCGAACATCCACAAGGCGCTGCTTGCTCATCGGGATACCCCTGCAACTGAAGGATACTCCCCTGCGGAACTCATGATGGGAAGAAAGATACGGACAAATGTTCCAGCTGTGTCCAAAGCGTTCCAGCCTCGGTGGAACAGCGAGCCCTTTCGGAAAAAGGATCGTGCATACAAAGCCAAGCTGAGTGCACATTACGATGCCCGTCATAGGGTCAAAGAACGAGACCATATACCTCCACATACAGCTGTGCAAATTCTGTCAGGAGCAGCCACAAGTGGGACAGTGCTGCAATCAACGCAGTCTCCTAGGTCATATGCGGTGAACACAGCCAATGGCATCACTCATTGCACGAGCAGACATCTGCAACCTTGGCAGCCTGGAATAACCGTCACGAGAGGTGGACGAAAATCAAGACCTCCAAGCCGCCTCAACCTGTAGGTGCTGGGAGTCTTCAAAGAAAGGGGGGTGTCGTGAGAGCCACAGCACGAAGAGGGTGCCACAAGCCAGATGACAAAGAAGCCAGCGAAAGGGCTGAGTGCGAGAGTCTGGGTCGGAGAACGCCAACACGACGGGCGCACGGAGACTTGACGTGCGGGCTCATGTAACCATGTAACGTATCGTTAACTCGAATTAAACGCTTTGTTTACGCCAACCTCGTCCCGACAGGAATCTGCCATGTCTTGATGAATACGCAATAAAAGAAAACCAGGTCTCGAAGCTAGCGCTCGTATTTTATTGAAATCAACAGCCCCTAATGTGCTGGCAAACAGGTATACAAGGTTAGTTGGAACAGGCTATCAAACATATTTACATTTCTTTCAACTGTTTATACAACAAAAAATCGCACGTGCCTGCTCAAAGCCAAGGTGTCCAAGTCTAGGGAACTTCCAACTCTGGCCATCAGTAACCTATTCCAACAAAGCACACATCTCCAGATAACTTCAGGCTTACATATAATCAACAATCATGTGTTAATGAGAAATATATTTGCAACAATGAGAGACCTGTAATAGTGAGCAAAATTTCGGAGAGGATAAAGCTGTTTGAGGTATGCCACGCGAGTCGGCTACTTCTACCAAGCACACAGATGCAAAGCGGTGAAGCTGTATGTGTGCGCAGAGCAGTGGTAGGAAGCTTGATGTGGCCAGACTGTCCGTTTATATTTAATTAGTTTGTATTTCGCCTCAGATATTTCTTTTTCTTTAATACAAGGGTCGGCCTACATTCAGAAATTATGTATGTTCTAGTAAATATGATTGCTAAAATCGGGAAAGTGCCACAAACAATAGGTCTAACGTGGTTGGACAGAGTGATGAAGTTATAATGTTACAGTGATTGCACAATGACTACTAACACAGGGTCTTTCAAGGAATGCTGAACCAAAATTCGGATTTCACAAAATAAGGCCGCAGAAGTGTTCACAGGACGCTACGAACGCCAAAACATCACTCGTACAGCAATATCTCGAACCGATGGCCGTGTTTTTGGACAAAAAGGGCAGGACTGAGCAAAGAATGCGACGTAGCCATTCTCTGGGAACGGTTGAGAACAAGAGAAAACGGACGTCCTTCTCTGCTCCTCGGTTCGGTTTACCTCCTCGAGGGGGCAAAGGGGAGGGGGAATGAGGATCTGAACATGACAGGCCTTGCCTGCCTTCGTCGTTCAATCGCTCCCTTCTTTCCTAAAAATACGGCCATCCGTTCGAAATATTGCGGTACGAGTGATGTTATGGGGGTTTGTAATGTCCCGCCTATTGCACCTGGCTTGTTTTACGAGATCCAAAATCTTGTTTCGCATCCATTTAACATGCATCATTCAGCGTGCATGCTAAATAAGTCGTGCAAGTGATTTGTTTTTTCGCAAAATTTTTCATTGCCTTAAAGTATTTACACAGGGAAGTTTACATGTTTTGACTGTGACACTAGTCATCCCTAGTCAGTGGCTCCCGGAAATTGCTTAAGAAACAACAAACTTGAAAGACCTGGTTAGCAATGCCGATCATTGTGATGGGGAACGGACGATCCAAAATGTGAAACTGTTTTACCCTCCCAATCACACGCTCAACAATTACTCTGGCACTAGCCACCCGGCGGGAGTGCGCAACGTCCTCCTCTGGCATTTGCGGCTCTTGCGGCTTTCTGAAAGCAGGGATGTGCACCTGAACCCCTGCTGGTATGTTATTAAGCTTGAAACCCTTATCCACCATAATGGCGTCACCTGACTCCAATAGCCCTAACAACCCACTCTCCTCTACAATCAGCCTGTCTGAAACTGACCCTCCCCATAACTTGGAAACATATGAAACGTAGCCATCAGCGGTGCAGCCAATGACTGCCTTATAAGTATTAAAGTGCTTATAAGGTGAAAAAGTATGCCTCTGGGCAGCCAGGGAAGAGGGCCTCTGGATGCGCACCTCCGTTCCGTCGAGAACTATTCTTGTGTTTACGAAGTAGCGAAAGGCATGAGGCAGATACATCTGAATTTCGTGCAGAGATGGAAGCCGTGTCAGTGTACTCAACTCTCGCTGCAGGAAGTTTATCCAGGTTGTAAACAGCCTGCTCACCGTCGCTTCATGTACTCCAAAATTGCGGGCCATTTCCCTGCCAGCCATTCCCGTTCTCAGCCTAGTAAGTACCATGAAGAATTCCTCAATGAGCTCCAACTCCCGGGGGCGGCCTTTCATCCCGCTACTCTTTCGACTGCTCGACCAGTATTGCATCTGGGATGCCCGAGGTGCAAAAAAATCGTATGCTGCTTCAAATACAGCAAACTCGGGCAGCCCAGTGTAATAAATGCACTGCTTGGGGTCATGTCTGATGAAGTCAACCGATAGCCGCCGTGTCTCGTGGTGCTGTAGCTCCACTTGGAGGCGCATGTTGTCAGCTTCCAAACTCAAGATCCGCTGCTGCATCTGTGCAATCTTGAGTCTGCACCCGTCATGCGTCCCAGACATCACGGACTGACCAAGATTGTCCTCGTGCTCGATCTCTGTAAAATAGAAGTATGCATAAATGAATTCATAATTATACAGTTTTTGTCTCTATTTCTTATGCTGAATAATTATGTATGTGCTATTCCTGCAGATTTCTGAAATAAGCCCCTTGCACTCAAGCACAGAGGAATTTTGGCTCCAATTACTGGCCATTTTCTGCTTGCCAGCAATATTTTATTATACCCATCCAAATGTCGGAACGATAAATGCATGTAGATAAATAAAATAGTGAAGTAGTAGATTAAATAAAACTTGCGCACCATTTTGCTCAGCTTTACTCTAACTGCTTACGATGAAAGTTCTGAAAAGGTTGTCTACCTTGCGTAACAGCCCATTTGTATGCTGTTTAGACACCATAAAGCAGGTTCCTTCGTTCAAAACTACAAACCATGCAGGTATGTATATTAGCAGTTATGCCGAATGATTTAGCGACATGAACTGTGACAGCTGCCTGCTGCACAAGTAACAGCAAGCATGAGCACCTTCGATGGTTTGCTGGACACATGGAGTGCTTGTCTGGGCTCCATGCCCATTGTCCAGGAGGGGCGGACAATGTTCCGGGATGCTGGTCTCTCCTGTAAGGGGACCAACGACCAGGGATGCTCTTGCTTGTGCCACAAGTTGGATTGCTGCTCTGGAAGGCCCAGCTGCTGCTGCTGTCGAAGGCCCGGCTGTAGCTGAAGGTCGAGCCGCAGCTACGCAAGGTCTGGTTGCAGCCGCGGAAGGTCCGGCAGCAGCCGCAGAAGGTCTAGCTGCAGCTGCGGAAGGTCTGGCTGCAGCCGCAGAAGGTCTGACTGCAGCTGCAGACGGTCTAGCTGCAGCTGCGGAAGGTCTGGCTGCAGACGTGGAATGTATGGTGCAGGCGCGGAATGTATGGCTGCAGGCGCGGAATGTCTGGCTGCAGACGCGGAATGTCCGGCAGCAGCCGCAGAAGGTCTAGCTGCAGCTGCGGAAGGTCTGGCTGCAGCCGCAGAAGGTCTGGCTGCAGCCGCAGAAGGTCGTGCTGCAGACGCGGAAGGTCTGGCTGCAGCCGCAGAAGGTCTGGCTGCAGCTGCGGAAGGTCCGGCTGCAGCTGGGGAAGGTCTGGCTGCAGCTGTGGAAAGTCCGGCTGCAGCTGTGGAAGGTCTGGCTGCAGCTGCGGAAGGTCGGGCTGCAGCTGGAGAAGAACCGGCTGCTGGCTGAGGTGCCCCATGTTGAGTGCTTGCAGGAACTGGAGCGGTTATTTGGGCCACAATCCTTTTTTTGACAGCAGCTGCAGGGTCACAATCGCAACACACAATATTGGTGCTGCATAACCAATGCATACTATTATTGAAACCTGCAAAATGTAAATCTCGGGGTAGTAGATGCCAAACAAGCGTAGGGCATCTGGCACGTCTCAGCGTTGGACGAGAATAATTTCCACTACTTGGAAATCTTATGACGTGCACTAAAAATCTCCACCTAGCTATGACCATTTATAAATCTGACGACTCTACACAGTGTCATAATTTTTCCTCTCTAATCATAACGCTTAGACATCATGCAATGAAAAGAGGGAAGGCAGTGGCAAACTGGTCTGCATGAGCTACTTCTCTAGTGCAGTGAAAAAAATGCATAGGAAACAAGAAACCTGGGGAAGCACCAGCAGGCTCATATACACACGCATCAACTGTATTACGCTCGAAACTTGACGGCGATCTGACATGGTCGTCGCGCAGCGTGGTGATAAGCTGAGCTCACGATGTATGCACTGCCGCCGGCGCGGACGCTGGCAGCTACCAACGCCGTCCCCATCAACAGCGGATGTTACGAAACCAGTACCCGTAGCCCGGTCAACAAGTCAAATCGTTCGAGCATGCTGAAGAGGCAGCACGAGATTACTAAACACGACGTAGTACGTACCCCCCGTCGACAAACGATGTTTCCACCGTTCGTAGCGGCCGAGGACCGACGGCCGGTTCTTCACGTAAGTGAATACAGTCGGCACGTAGTCAGGGTGGCTGTTGTCCAGTGATGGTTCCCCTGTTTTATAAAGTGGAAGTGTTACATTTCCGGTGCTTCTCGAAAGTACGATGAAGGTGACTTACCTGTTACGAAGTGATCCTCGCATATTCGCGACTCCTTACTTGGCTCCCAAGCCTTGTTTGGGTCTGACGGGAGCACTCGCTTCACTGCTCGGATCCAGGCCGCTCTTCGATGAGGGAACAGTTTCTTCGAAGGGAATCGAAAATAGCTTTTCTTGTCTCCTGGCCGGTGCCAACTCCGGCAGCCAAAGGCCACGCAGCTCGTCGGCATCCCGCGGAACGCGACAGCGAAATCGTAGCGTAGTCGCGTAGTCTTGCTATGGTCTCACGCTTCGCTAGCTTGTCGTCTCTCCCAACATACCCTCGAACCCGGGCGCCCGGCGCGCCGAGATACCGCGCATGCGCACTCCGTATTTTCGCAAAACGTGGATTGTTCCGAAAGTCAGAGAGAAGGAGGGGGGGGGGGGGGGACTGCCCCTCCCCTTGCCCCCTTCTTCCGATAGGGTACAAACTTGGGGATGCCATAAATAAATGCAACCTCTTATGGCTGCCATTGCGTACAAAGGGGAAAAAATAGAGAGAGAAAGGGATGTGGTTTATCTTTATCTTAGGTGTTCATATCAGAAGTGATACGAACGGTTTTGAATGATTGCGGCTGGGCGAGCTAGCAATGAGTGCTGCCTTAGTGTTCGGTTGGGACTCTTGTTCAATCGGCAGGAAAGCGAGTCCCAGCCAACTATTGGAGCGGATCCTATGAATGGCTCTTGGAATTTTCGCAAATGGTCCGTTGTCTCGCAAATGAGTGCACTGGTATTAGCTAAGGGAAATAACGAACTGTTTCCTCTCTTTTAATATTGCTGACTCTACATTTAAGCATTAATTCTTCACAGGAGGAAACACGACCGACCAACCTATCTGGTGATGCGAATCGACGAAGAGGACTCAAGTGCCATAACTGTGGTCTTGGAGGATCACTCCTTTGAGGTGATTGATATTGTGGCTGGTGAAGCGCTCGTTCTTGCAGTGCACGGAGTCCACGACATTTTTTACTGTCAAAAAGCAAGCCAGTCGCTCGCAATGATTGGGCACTTCATTGGTTCGAAGTACAGAATAAAGTCCGTCCTGGCTTTAGACTTGATCACAAAGTTAAAAACTTGTTAGCCAGAGGAAATTTGTGTGCCACTTTTGCCTTTTTTGCCATGTTCTGAAATTAAAATCTTGGTTTAATAAACTCTATTCTACTGTTTTCTTTCTGTGCTGACTTTTCATGAGATCCTATTGCCTGCCTCTGTGCTGGCTCATATGCTATATATTTCATGTCATTTTTGAGCTGCAGTTCCACATTTCCTTTTTTTTTATTTTTTCAGCAAGCTTTTTTCAAACAAAGCCAATTTTACACTTCCGTTCTTCTAATTCTGTTTTCAAGTGTTTCCGTTACTTTTCACTGAGTTAACTTACACTCAACAGCACACTAAAAACAATATTTAACAGCATAATTGAGCGGAGTTTGTGTGACCCCTTCCTGAAGAGGGTGCTAATTCTCTTATACAGAGTTTAGGCAACACATCAAATGGGGCTGTACTTACTGTACACAATTCTTTCTGTAGAGTAATTACAGCTCCATTCTAAGTGTTGCCTGAACTCTGTATTAAAGCGTTAAGTACTCTCTAAGGCGGGGTCACACAAACTGCTCAAGTGTGCTGTTATGTGACATTAACTCTTGCTAGAGAGCATAGTTAACTCACTAATACAGACTCTAGGCAACACCTCTAACGGAGTTGGATTTACCCCACAAAAAGGTTATAACAGCTCTTCCTGGAGAGCGTGCTTAACTCTTAAATACAGAGTTCAGGCAACACTTCTAAAGGAGTTTTAGTTACTCTCCACAAACAAGTGAATTCAACTCTTCCGGGAGAATATGTTTAACTCTTGCATACAGAGCTTAGGCAACACTTCTAATGGAGTTGTAGTTACTCTAGACGATAGAGTGAGGGTAACTCTTCCTGGCGAGTACTCGTAACTCTTGAATACAGTGTACAGGCAACATTTTAACAGAGTTGTAGTTACTCTACACGAAGGAATGAAGGTAACTCTCCCTGGAGAGCATCCTTCACTCGTCAACATAGAGTTTTGGCAACACTTCTGATAGAGTTATTATCACTCCACACAAAAGAGTGAAATGTACTCTCATCAAAGAGTTTAGGCAACACTTCTCATGGAGTTATAATTACTCTACACAAAGGAGTGGGGTTAACTTTTGCACTTACACATCAAAAGAGTAACCCTTACTCTCTCAAAAGTATTAGAGTTACTCTCTGTGGAAGAGTTAAGTGAACTCTTGTATGGAAGAGTTAAACATACTCTTGCCTCCGAAGAGTTATAGTTACTCTTTAAAAGAGTGGATTCTGTGACAAGCCACTTACACTCCAAAAAGAGTTAAATCGACACTTTTTTTTTTTTAGAGTGTATGGTACAAGCTCGGGCGACGGCGTGTGCATGCCGATTACCTTCGACGGATTCGTGACCTGGGGTCCACACCAGAGCCACCTTGGGGAGGCCGGGGCCTTTCGTTTGGAGAGCGTCCTTGGTTTCGTAGCGGGCAGTAGCGGGACTGGCCTAAACTTAGCGTCCCATTTTAACTATGTTGGTTTGATCTGGCTTGATTTGTTCTTGTGAGCGTGTTAAAGCTGAATAACGTTATTGGTTCCCGGAAAAAAAGCCCCGCTGCTCTGTGACTTGTGCGACCGTTGTGGTTGCATCCGTGGTTTCAATATCGAGGAGATACTTAGAGAGGTAAGAATTTACGAGCTATTTGGCTGAAGGCAGTCGGGCGTTCGGCTCGTATCAAGCTTGGCCAGGTTTATTTCCTTCATTTTGCTTCGAATGGAAAGTAGCTCTACATTTCCCAGTGCACCCATGGCCCGCCAATGCGAATATTTTTAGGTCGGATTTTAGTTGTGCTTCATTACGCTCACCCAGCTAGCTCGCAAATGCCATGCAAAAAAAAAAAAAGAAACTGAAAGAACTGTTGCCTGTATTGGACCGTGGCTTGTGCATGAAAGAACGCTAGACATGCATTTCTAGCGCAAGCGCTCGATCGTTCTGCGGGACAACGCTTGAAAGTAGCGACCTCATGCTCGCGTGATTGTGGCATTGGCAGCAGTCTCGGCTCCACGCTCCTTCTGCAACGTGCATTCCACACCATCGAGATCGCCGTTCTTTGCATACGTCAGCTAGGAGCTTGATCCGAGGATGCGGAGACTTCTGTCAGGCCGACCATACGCCATTGCCGGGTACTGACGGTTATTTCTACTTACGATTTCCCTCGAGCAACTACTTCTGCAATGGGAAAGTAACACGGTGAAGGGAACGCTCGTGGCACTATAATACCGGCATGACCGCAATCGATGTTACGGGCAAGTTATATATAGGCTATAGAGCGTACAGTCCTCGGATGTCACTACAATCAACGAGGTAGAGGGGCTTAGAGCGATAAACCGGGGTTCCGGTCTGCACTCGAAAGTGACCCCCATAAGGCGGCTGCCATTGTACGCAAATTTGACCACACGTCACATGACCAAACGAAATACGTGACGTCACAGGAAAGATGGCAGCGCCCATGCAGCGGCTGGCCCCAGCTGGGCCGGAGCTTGTCGGATGCTTTGTTGGTTGTCGTTCGTCTCGGCGAGTTGATTTCAGACGCGGAAGCCGTCATATGAAGCCGGTCGAAAGCGAGTTCAGAGTTCAGCGTGGTGTTTGACGCTGTGCATTTCGCTGGTGACCGACCGGGATATTGCCACGGAAGAGACAATCTGACCTACGTTGCTCGGACTTCGGATTGATTCGGATACCGCTAGGATAAATTTAAGGCGACGTTTCTGTGCTCTCGTTGACCATCGGAATCTTCGAGGTTTGCTGTGAAGCGTGTGCAATATATTTGGATGCACAGTTTAGCGACGGAAATTGCGTGAGTCGTGCTTGGCGGTGTGCAATCGTGGTGCAGCTTCGATCAAATGACCGAGGGCTCACTTCGGTTGTGCGGCGCACCGGAAGGCTGCCTTGAAGCTGGTAGTTCCCGTGCCGTGCTGAATGATGCTGTGCTGCTTACAAATTGTTCCGGCGTAGAAGTGCACTTTCACGGAGCACAGGTGTGCGGCGCACCGAAGAGCTGCCTTCAAGCTGGTAGTGCCTGTGCCATGCTTTAGGTGATGCTGTGCTGCTTCCGAAATTGTTCCGGCGTAGACGTGCACTTTCACGGAGCACAGGTGTTGCAGTTGGTATTGATCCCGCTGGTCTGTCGCACGTTTCGTCAACACAAACGTTTCATCCACACTCGTTACGCGAATTGCAAGCTGTCCGGACATTTCACCGAGCGTGTTACGTACCCAGCTCACGCCGCTTTGTGGCAACAGTCTGCAGTGGCTCATTACCAGAAAAGTGGTCCCACATCCATTTCAGTTCAGTTCGTCCACGGCAGTCGCCAAACCCCGAAGGAGAGGATTTATCCGGACAGAATGCCACTAAAGCAATGCAGTTTCCTCGGTGGTCAGGATAGATTCTCTTCTGCGAGTTTTGTTATACTGTCACGGATCCTTGTTCCAGTCCTATCTTCTATCAATATTCACTATTCTGGGACACTGCAGGTCATGCTCAGCTGTAATCGTATGTTCTGGTGGAGGTGCTGGGCACCCATAGCCCTTCACTCTGTGCATGTGAACCCGGCGGCTCTTCAGTCGAGTAACTCGATAATGGGACACGGCTGGCGGACTATCCTGCGTCTTATACCCCCGTCGAGCCGTAAGCAAAGTCCTAACCCGAGCCTGGCAGAACAACCGCAAGACGACCGAATACCACAAGGAGTAACCTCGGAAATACACCACGAAGCACCTGAAATCCGAGCCAGTTGCTGCTACCAGGAAAAACCACCGGAATTCGGTCTCCTGTCAGAAAATCCGAAGCTGACTAAGCCAACAATGACAAACCTGTAGCAGCAAACCGTGTCCCCTCCCACCATTGTTTGCATGCCCGTCGCAAATCACACTCCGACGCTTTTTCACGCAAGCTGTATGAAGACGTCATGAACTGGATTGAACAATATGACAGTGTCGCCCGCCACATTGGGTGGACAGACAACCAGCTCCTGCAGAACCTATACTTCTCGTGGAAGAAACTGCCGGCGCTGGTCTGAGAACCATGGATCCTCCTTAACGTCATGGGAAGTTTGCAAGATCGAGCTGAAGCGCGCATTCGTCAGCCACCATCAACGAGAGAGAGCCGCATTCTTGATTCTGTCCAGGAC